TCACTGGACACTCAAAACCTTTCGTGAAGAGGTCAGTTGGTTAGCTGGTGGACCGTCTCTCGAAATCCGGATCAACTGAAAAATTTCGGAGAGCTGTAGTGAGCAGTCACAACAATCACTGTGGCAGTTTGTCTTTGAGAACTTGGGTACAATTGGTTCACTCAAATGTACTTTTGTAACCAAAAAACGGTACATACAGGAAGCAGAGATCAGAAAAATATCCGTGGAGGACCGTCCAACTATTAGAGGGAAAACCACTGGAGACTTACGAATAAAAGTAAACGTACTGAACAGACTGAAGGGATTATCGACAAAGGAATGTCGGTAGGCGAGGACTACGCCACAAAACGTCAGTTCCAGGTATGTGTCACACAGCGCAGCGTCACTTCTCGGTTGAACGACAGTCAAACACAAAGAGAAACAGCCATCAGGGAATCACGTGCAGAGTGTAATGGCCTTGGGCAGGTCCTAATTCGAATGCCCCTGAAGAAGTGCCTGGTGGACTAATCTTGGTCACGTTCTTGTTCAAACTCTAATGGTGTATTGGTAGTATCGGGATCCTATGGTAAACTGCGAGTGCCTGGATTCCTATAATAAATTACAAATATCGGGATTCTTACGGTAAATTGCGTGTCCACGGGGACAGTAGACAACTTAGAAGTGGTCCTAGGTAATCTAATGTGTGAATATTTTGATTTTCCATAAGTAATCAACTCTCCTCAGCAAATGCCATGTCTCCTACGGCTGGCCGCAGTACTTCCTTAGAGTTAAAACCATCCTTTCTGTCCGCTCGTATGAGAACCCTCGCTTTCTTGATTGTCAGAAGCGTTACAGCCTTTACGATTCGCATACGGAAATTACGTTGTTATTGGCGTTATGAGGCGGAAAGATATCCATTACTGACGTGATTCCAGAACAACTCAGGAGGTGAAACTCTGCGAACATCAACTTATCTCACTTCGAGTCAGTAATACTGACCTACACTTTTGCATGCGGATCTACATGTCGGCTTTCGCTTCTGTTCAACATCAGCTAAACCCGTTTCACCAGCTATCCCACCACAGCCCTGCTGTCTGTGTTAAAACTGATGTATTGGTTACCTAAGGTTCCAATCCCAGATGTCGCTGCCAATCTTTTCTTTAACTGGGTCTGAGTGAGGTAACGAAAGCTGACTCTGTAGATCCGTCATACTGCTCCCAGTTGAAGACTGTGTAATATAAGGCTCAATTGGGCCAAGATGGGAGCAGAAATTTTCGAGTGACCGCTGCGTGTAGAAATCGTGAGGCTCCACCTGGACTGATGTCACATTTCTTCGGTAGGTATGATATTCCTCGAAGTCGATGGTTGAAGGACTTAACTCGATGTTCCCTTTTCGAGGAGTGCTTTCAGTCTTTGCACAGCCAATCCTGTAAAGCAGCGGAGAACGTGTAGAGAACGGATGAACAGCTTGCTCCCATCGGTCCAGTTGGCCTTGGCTACTTCATTGTCCCGTCCTGGTTGACTTAGAATGGGGACTCAGCATGCTCCTGTAGACGGACAACAAGTGGGTCATCAACCAGATTATAACACCTGATAGTCGCTATTCCCCTGTCGCCATGGTGAACCAACACCTCTGCCTCGCATAGGCTACACAGTAGCAGGTATCATCCAAGTATTTCAGTGGAGTGCTCGTTTCCAAACCACCCACAACCGACCATGTTGAGTTGTTTGAAGTTAGGTTATTCGGTATATAATTCTAGAAGATATACGACCAGCTACCGAACTTCTATTAACTAATCGGAACGGTGTCACAAAGTAAGGAGACAAAATTTAGAAAAGGTTGCTTACTTATGATCCCTTTATTTACAGCATTATGCTTAACTAGGTGCTTCTTTTCTTGAAAACACACAAAAAGGTTGCGAAAACCAATCCTAACGCGGAGGATAAACTATAATTCTGCTGATTGGCGCGTGAGTTTGGTAGGAGATGAAGTAATTTCTTATTGGAAAATGGTCTGTTATAAGCAGAGGTGAGTCTTTCATCAGTCCAAGAAAACAGGTGTATTATCATGCATAGACGCACTTAAGCATCCGCAATGAGGCTATCAACTAAAAAGCGGGAACATAAGGCACAGATGAAATATACCGCGCAACTTCGCCATAGTCATCTTACGCGGGGATGGTAACCGTTGACGATATAACGCGTAGAGGTGATGAGCAAGCCTGATGTAGTTTGGCTTCGGTCCTGCTGACCAGGTGAACAGTATTGCGTATTTCCAGTTAGACTCGGGGTCGATCCATGTATAGTATTTCAACCTAACAGCAACGCCTCGTCATATAATTTATGTTCAAGTTGTCCTGGACATGAAGACACGGAAAACGAGCTCTCACAGTTGTGTTGTATCCTGTGCCATACGAAGATTTCATGGGGTCCCATCATTCGCGCCTAAAGCGATTCCATCGGGCGGTCCACACACTTCAGGACACTCTGTAATGACGGTGACTAGACTGTACTATCAGTATTGGTGCGGTATCCCACCACCTCCGTACTTTTGACTGAGTCCAGTTGATTGATAACGGCCGTCACTTATGGAGGTCAGACAACTAAGAAAAGATCATTGTCAAAAGACCTACCGAATTTCTACGTCTACCATTTGCTCACATACGATACTATAAGCGACAAGATCCATCCGAAATTGGATGGATAATTCAGAGGGATAGTTGGTTGGTTTGATGAGGAACGAAGAGTAGGTTGAAATAATGTGCCTTCATATGCCTCATAGTTGACGAAAATCTGTCGAAATGAATCGGAATGTGTTGAAGACAACAAGTTCACCGAATCTGCTGGCCACTAAAATGCGAAAAGCACCTGATCTAATTCAAAGGAAAAACACAGGAATCTCTCGTTATCGTTTAAGCTAGTCGTAATGTTATTTTCCATTGAAACAGTTTTAGCAGATGTTTGAGGTGACGTAACGCCGACATTACATCATATTAATTTCATGTTTCTTTTCCTCTCTCTTGGCGGTATGGGAAGCAAGAAACAACTGCTGATTCCAGTTGGACTGGCGCAGAATCAAAGGCGAACTGATCTATCCAGTCGCTCGTTGAGGCCGCACTAGTGTTCACGCACGCAATTTACCTTTTGGGTTAACCCAAAAAGTGCGATTTGCTCGGACACAGAAAGGGCTTAGATTAGGACCCTCATGGTTGCACACGAACCTTGGCACTTTTCTACCTAGGCATCCTTACATGACCAGAATGGTTGCACCAAGACGTGAACAGGAGTGTTCAAACGAGTAAGATGAGTAAAAATCCCACAAATCGCACGACAGGCTACGAGTGATCTATAAATTCCTTGTGAAATATTCCTTGTTGTTATCAGGCACCATTCTTTACCTCAATCTGAAGGAGGCAACCAACTGCCGGGAGGTTATCCAACTGAGTCATACCGGTCGGCTGCTTTGGATATTCAGGGCTTGTGTCTAGCTCCGCCATGTGGTTTCTCAGGAACAGTGGGTGACCGCAACCCCACTATCTTGTGATCTTTTGCGTGGGCCACGATGAAAAGCACGCGAAAAAGATAGCTAAATGCAGCTGTATGGATGACTCATACATCTGGGAAAGAATCCACATCCGTAAATTACTACTTAGATTTTTTTCCAAGGGCCGTTTTTTCCTTACTCGTAAGCTCAGTAAATTCGCAAAACTTTGGTCCGCGTAAAACAGTGTGAAGTAGCTATCATGAGTAACCTGGGGATGGAAGTGATCGGTTTGTGTTGATCCGTTTAGAGATATCATGTGAAGACTGCATCGTCTGCAGTCCTGCACTGTGGGGATTTCCACAGCGAGAGCCTCGCAAATTTATTAGCTAACGGCACCTGATTGCTAGAGGATAGGCACCACAATCCTTGAGTATACGAAAAGGGTCCAAAGGGCGGATGGACACTGCCGCATATCGCTTGCGTTCTGCTTATTCGATGTTCCACAGGAAGGGCTGTTGCCAAAGCATCTTATCGACGGATGCAGTAAGTATTGCTGCTAACTGAAACATAGGTCACATGTCTGTAGAACAACAAGTCGTTCTTACTACTAAACTTAAGTCTTTCTATGAGGCATCACCTTTCCCCGTTCCTCTTTGCCTGTACATCCATGAACTATCTGTTCCCATTTCTTTGCACAAGTGTAAACATCCTCGTTGCATCGCAATTGGTTCTGACCACAAAAATTCCAGAAACTCACATGGGATTGCAAACTGGATTGAACCAAACTGTTGAGTGCTTCGGGGAACATCACCTTTTTCCTAATTTGTCACAATCCCCTGATGTTACAACTTTTCTCACAGCTAAACAAGAACTTCGTTGGCGACTTGTCATCACACATGACCGATAGATGTAACCGGACAATCAACAACTCTTCACTTAATTTTATTTCAGGCCCGTTTACATATTCCGTAAACAGTCCAAATGCGAAACTTCATCCATAAAACCTACCGTGTGCCGGAATCCCTACATGGCGTGTATCTTGTGAATCCTGACTCACTGTACGATGTGCTCCTGCTAAACCTCCCTTCCATTGCTGCACATGCGTCACCCACGTGGATGCTAAAAATTTACCTATCGGGGTGTAAAGCTATTGAGTTTACTTTAATACACAATGAATGTCACACAAGAGCCGTGTTGGGACCGCTGAAGACGTCCGTAGTCCGTCTTTCTGGGACAAGGTCATCAGGGAGTTCACTAAGAAGAAAACCGTTAGGGAACACCATTACGAACGAGAAATCCATCTGGATTCACGTGAGCTCTCTCGTCAAAACCAATATCAAATGCGAATGAGAGCATGTGACATTGTGAAGTTGCTTGCTAATAGGATATTGTGTACCTTCAATAATGATACTTAACCGTTCAGCAGCTTGTTGGAACTTCCTTTCGGAAGGATAACGTGAATGGAATCCCTTGAGCTTCTTTGAAAGAACACGTATTTTGTTCCACTGTTACAGCCACTCCTCGCAAATTGAACCGCTTAGTGCGGTGCATAAAACACCTTCTGGGCTTCAACAATCCACTGTTTCGAAATTGCAGTCCAAGGCAGAAGTGTCCCGTGTTTGGTCGTGAAAGTGTGTAATGGGATAAACGGCAGAAACACGGTCGAGCATACACTCAAGATTGGACGATGAAACGGTCCAATACCCACAAACACCTGTGTTGTCATCCTGAAAGTACTGGGGGAAGTCATGACAATCATCGGGTTGTAAAAAAATTGCCACGAAGCATAGTGTGACGCACCACAGAAAAGTTCAGTGACCCGATGGGTAACACGTGATTCATTCAACTGGGGATTTTTCGTTCTATGGCTGTTTTACTCGCGTTGAGTCTGCTTAATACCTTGGACGATCCGAACAGTGAATTCTGATCGACGGCTTCAATCGATTGAATGGCAAATACTACCATATTTTCGATAAAACCAGATCCCACCAGATAATCTTAACAGGTTCCGCAACAGTGCAACTCAGGACTATCTACTATTTCATGCCCAGTGGTGTCGCACAACTTTTGACAAACCGCTTGTATAAAAAAACAAGTGAACACTTTTCATTAACATTCTCCAACCACTGAAGAAACATTCAGAATCGAGCACCGGTTTGCTCCGAACTCGCATGCTCGCTGAGTGACAGAAACCCTGTCCAACAGATACAAGTAAAACCACTCGAGAGATGCCACTCCAACCGACAAATTCTCCGACAAGAAGCACCACGTGCTGTTATCCACGTGAATCGGTTCATAGCAATTGATTCAAGCACATCACACGTGAAAATAAAAATAATCATGATGATACGAGAGTCACGTGTTTCTTAAAGAAAACCCGGATAGTTGCAATCAGCAACATCAGAAGCACTAGAATCTGGCAGAGATCAATCGAATGATTGGAGAAAATCTATGGATATCTGTGTAAGCTTAACCACATTACAATAGGCTGATCATGAACATGGAGGTCGCTCATCTGCGGCGTTTTTTCGGTATATAGCAGCCAAGCAACCTGTAGGAAGTCGTTATATTGATAAGTGACTCCAACCTGCACACAATCCGACAACGGTATCGGGTTTTCCCACTTGACTTCCACGATACGGTTGTCCGTCCATCTGCCTTCAGAAGGCGACAACTGCATAGTTTCGGGCTAGGTTAGAGCTGCAGTTCCTCCATCATGCCAAATACCTGACGCAATAGCTTGCTGGGAGGGGTAGTTGGACCGCATAGGTTACAGGCGGCTCGGGGTTGAGGAGCGAGCTCCTAATTGAAAGGCTCGTAATGCGAATTTATCTCTATGTTTGAGAGACTTGGGTAACCTTGGGGTGCTACCACTTGGACTTACCATGAGTTAATCGGCAGCTATGCACTGGAAAAATGTTATAACTGAGGGATCTGGTTTGAACCAGCGATTCATTACAGAAGAACCTTGGAGAGGTGACGTTTCCCAAAAAAATTTCAAAGGACATATTCACCTTATACATAACCTGTCTACGACCATGATATCCTTTACAATGGTGTGGTTGCCAAGCATGCGTGCTTACGACTTCACTCATCCCACCTTGGCGTCTACGAGCTCTCTGGTTTTATTTCAACGAATTAGTGACCAGCGGGTTCCCCACATTGATCATCACAAGACAGATAATAGCAGTCTTCCGCAGCGCACAAGGTGAAAACCGAAACTTGGCGTATGAGGCGCGTGAATGAAAAGATCAAAATTAAATGGAAGATGGTCGAGTGGAAACGGCTGAAGACTAAAATTATTTTTTTGCCCAAAGGAGCCTAAACCAATTGTTCCTGTCAGACGACTACCATTTCAAAGCTGAGCAACGGAAAATGACTTAAACACGGTCACTAGCTGAGAGTTCAAGCGGTCATGGTGGAAGAAGAGTAGCTAATGGTGTAGTTGGTGGCTTCCTGACATCTACCATCTCCAGAGCCAACACTCAACAGAAATGTCAAGCGCCAGATTAACAAATCTACTGTGGGACCAAAACTAGGAGTGGCACAAACTCAACATAATCAAGCCACAAACCAGATAATGAGCACTTTTCACGTATTTTCATGTATTCTCGAAGGGCGAATCAATAGATGAATGTGAGAAACAAAACTAATTTTCACAATGCCTATCAATGGAGGCAGTTCTAAGGCGGTACATTTTTGGTGCGCAAACGAGTTGTCCAGTCTGCTGAAAACTCTTCCACAGTCCAAGACCAGTTTTGCTCTTCTTCGGATTCATTAGATAGGAGCAGTCCTCGTACTGCCAGCCACGGTGAATTGTATGAAATGTTCATCTGCGTTATTTAGTTGCGCGCGAGCAGCTGATTATTTTTCTGCTGCTATCCTACATGTACGGAAGTTTCCAACACGCAATCCAAGGTAAATAGATGTGACTAGATCGAGATGTATCGCCAAACAAAATCAGGATGTGCGATGAATAACCGCAAACATGTGAAGGACGCATCTACGGTTCATCCAGCCATGTTGAGGAAGAAAAACCTAATCAAACAATACAACGGACGGATACCGCAACTATTTTGCTCGAACGCGATTACGTAAGAACGCAATGATGCGTCGCAACCAACGAAGCCTGGCTAGGACCGCGTTGTTAGGCCAATAGGCAACTCAAATACAGCCCAGGAGTCAGCAAGTCGGCCCAACAAGGTACAGTGCCCCGTAAACGTCAGATCAGATTTGACTGGTTCGGAATCCAGTTTTATTACTAAAAGAGGAAGTTTACTCAAAATAGATTGTGACCAAGCTTGGGTGGCAACGTCCTCTGACAGTCTTTTTCTACCCATGCGACAGAAATATGTGGCCGTCTGAGTGCGACCGTTTCCCGCAGGGCCATCCCGAAGTCCTTTCGAAAGCAGGCCACTAAATCAATAAGAAGACATTCTTCATGTTCATGTGTACCATCGTTAGTTGGGTCTGTACAAAAATCGGTATATCTGATTCGATTTACACACAGATAAGGAGTTCCGCTTTCAGACTTGATTGTTGTATATATCGTTCAGCTGCCAAACATTTGAAACGGTAGGGACGGCACGAATTGACTAACCCAAGCTGAAAATGAAAAAAGAAACAATTGGAAATCAAATCGAGTATGAAGCAGCAGCAACAGATGCTTCCGAACGGATTAACTAGCATTAACCAGCATGTGTTTTTACGCACGTTTCGTTTCACTTTCCTTTGTCTCCCAACAACGTCAGCCTATAAGTGCTATACTGGGCATGTCAAGTGTACCACCGACAGACGGAACAAGATCATGTTAGTAACCAAACTCAGTCCACGTTATTCGAGAGGTTTGTTTGCAAATTAACAAAATTGGTGAGTCGGTTGGCTCTACAAAAATCCAAACGAATAAGGCTGGTAGACCCTCTAGGGGTCAAACAAGGAATCGATGTGGCCTTCACACAAGACGTCGAAAGCGGTTCGTGTACGTATGGCGCAACTATCGGCCTCTAAATCATTGCAAGGATGGTATTGTTATTCACGCGGACAACAAAAACTTTATCCAGTGTCAGAAAGATCCGCATGGGAAAAACTGGCGTTTATGACATCTTCGAGGCTTATTAGTAAAACGAACACCAGGCGGTGATGTACGCAGATCTGGTAGGGCCAAGGCAACAACCAACTCAGTTTCGAGGGAAAGGAACTTTGCAGTAAAGTGTACAAAGATCACCAGGCTGGGTAGCGGAAAAACATGCAAGTGAATGTTTGAGCCAAGTATTTCAAAACCTATAACTTTTCCAAAGCGACTAACCAGCCAGCCGAATCTCAATTGGTTAAATCTACCCAATAAACTACGATTGGGTCGACTTTGCCTGTTAAATTGTTGCTAGTATAAAAGTGATTGGTCAGTTCATAAGAAACTTGACGAGATGAGACCGAACGCAGTCGCTTCACTCGGTCAACCGGTGTAGAGGTATTCTGTCCCAATAATGAAATTCGGATTTGTATGATGATCTACCTACATGAGTTCTAGGAACTTTGGAGTAAAAGCTTGACTGTTATTCTGCAACCAACGGTGTCAGGTTTGAAAACACAAGCCATGAAAAGAGCTGATTCAACTGACCTTTCGATCAAGGCATCATGCATTGCGGAGGCTGGTGTAGCACCGATTTCTCCTTCTAGTTTGAAAATCGACTCGACAACCTAAAAAGCGGAAAAATACATAATACGCTGAAGTTCCGCCAGTTTTCGCGCCTCTAATCTGCCGAATTTTCTCGGGAAGCATGAAACTCCCGGATAGTAAGAAGAAATCATACAATCACGATATGTACATGATAGCCCACTTTCAACTTTCACACACGGTCCAGAAATGTCATTCTCTCAGAAAGTAGATTCGTGGATTAAAGAATATTGGCCAGTTGGTTCAAAACTATATTCATCAGAGCCACCGACCACAAGCGTGTATCGTATTTTCGGTCCGACCCGTCAAAAAACAGTCTGGTAACCATCATAGCGCTCTCAGCCATTCACAAAGGATAAGAACTTTGTTAAGACGATTGGCAGGGTTGCCTTTTCAAGACACGGACGAGCCGGTGACGACTTCTAGAAGCCAGTTCCCAGTCATCGTTTTCACGAGAACCTTGGCGTCGTGCTCATGCGTAGTTAGTAGCAAGTGCGATAAATGCTCCGTCAAACGTGATTATCAGACACAGATTGACTAGACATAAACTAACAAACATTCGCACTCACAGGGAAGTACCATGTGATGAATGCACTATGTGACACAGTCACTGTAGACGTTGAAGATTGGAAGATGTCACTTTCTCTTTCGAGAATTAGAATGTCTTTTTGGGGCTTAAGCCAACATACCACCCGTAGTAAGTGGTAGCAGTCATATCCAGGTCCACCGGATCGAGGAGAACAAAATGGAAAATCGGTCTGGAAGCATCACGAGCATTTAGGTGGAGCACATAAAGACAGACCTAGAATTTTGGACTCAACTACAAGATACCATTTGTAGGATTTACAAGACACTCTCCAAAACGTGTGATACAGTGTAACACCAAACTCACTACTCGGTTGGTAGAGGCAAGATAGAACGTGATAATTCGGTAAGTCCTCAAGACCCAGTTTTCACACAAGAGCGGACCAGTTAAAACCCCAACCGATCCACTTGCCTTACATGAACGAATAAATGACGGCTATGGGCAACACCCAAATATCCCAAAGGGCAGGGTGACACTCATTCATAGATTATTATTATTATTACTATCATTATTATTATAAGGATAAGTCCAAATACCCGGAGATTAGGCAACGGATTTTTCCAAAGTATATTTCAAATGATGGAACACAAAGGTATGGGGAATGATTTCACCGATATTCGGAATAACCAAGGGGAGTTTCTAGTTTATACAGATGGCAGTTATACGGACTGCGGTGAGCTTGCATTATGTCCGGTAAAAAGTGCTTGCCAGCATGTATTGTGCATGTCCTAGATGTGCCAATTCCTGACGAGCGTCTCTGGAGATCACTAGCGCTCTCACCACCACCTTTCTCTGTTGTAGCCTTCTCATGAGCTGCAACCATAAGCTCTATCTTACCCACGACGGCAAACTCGTCAAAAGTTCGCCGTGGTTTTTCTTCTGCGTCAAGCGTGTGGTGTCCCCAGTGGTACTGAATTTTATACTGGAGGGTCCATAGTGGCTAAAGCAGGACTCCAACAAGCTTTTCCGAGCACTATCCAAGGCGGCATAAACCCCTATTCCGTACATTTAGCAGCCGAGCACAGGGTTATGTAGATATCCGCTTACGTCGTTGCATCATCATTATTGGTATCGTTGAGCTGTAACATCCTTCCGGTGTTTAGCTGCCATGCTACCCGAAGGAAGCACGGGGGCTGGGATACTGCCGGGTTGCCCGAGCCCAGACAGGGGAAGTCGAGAGGCAGAGGTCGGGCTCGAACCACGGACCTTGCGGTCAGTAAATAAGCGCTCTGACCACTTGAGCCATCTCGCCCCATCATCACTATTTCACAGTATCAGATGAACTACCACGATCTTCCATCATCAAGCTGTTGAGGATTGCTGGTGATATTCGAAGGACGAAAAATCACCTTGATATCAAGAGTGGTAACCTGATGAGTGTCGGATTTGCAAAAACCCCATGGGATTTCTTCGGTGTAACTCAAGGATTTTCTCATAGATAAGATCAACACCGAGTAAGTGACGTGGATTGCCGCTAAAGCAGCGAGGACTAAAGGCTTTACCGATGACAAAGAGTGAACGTTTATTCTCAGTAGCCCTACAACAGAATAAGAGAATGGAATACGATTGGGAACTGTCCTAGTTTCCGGTGCACTCGTTAATTCTTCAACGAGTATTCTTACTCTAATACAAATTACAAGTTAAGAAGTGTTCGGCTGCATTTCAAAGCAAAGGAAATGAGCACATTTTTTAGTCTCATCCGACAGAAACAGAACACAACGTTTGCTTGGCTATATGAGCTGTGACAGTGTGTGGATTCACAGTTCCCGTACACACACGGAAGCAAATAAACCATATGAAATTCTCACTGATGCTATCCATCACGTCAGTCAGCCAGTTGCTCACTCATAAAGCCAAGGTACAGTGGCTTAGCTGTCACAAATTCCTTCAGCGAGGATAAAGGGAACAAGGATATAACAGCAACACACTAGAGGTAAAAACCAACCCGGTCGTTGACACTAACTCACTGTGCTTGTTTTACGGAGAGTGGAAAAAGAGCTGTGCCTTAAAGGTACGTGGGACCGCCATTGGCCGCTCGGTGTGACCATATCTGTTACGACCAATAACCATTGGTGTGTCTCGTCCTGAGGTCCTCATCCGAAGAGGCTGTAGTTGTCAACGCGACCGAGTTTAATTATCATGTTTCGTTGCCACGCCATGGACTGGCCACCCCTGAGTCGCTTCCGTTCAACACCTGACTGAGTTAGGGGCTCTGTTAGGCAACTAAAGCACATGTCCTAACCGGCATAACCTATAGAGCGTATGCGGCTGATTTATCGACAGAGTTGTTTTATTGAACCGACGTTCCTATCAGACTCGTCTCGGAGACACCGAAGGAGTCATTGAAGATACTTCACAGCCACTGTGTCTCTGACCCCTACAGTAGGACAGCTCACACCCCAGAAGTGAATATTAACTCTGGAAGACAGACTAATTTCCTTTCAGTGCCACAAATGACGAGGGTTGGCAAACGCCAATCTGGCCCTCTCGATTCAGAAAATGGTTCTGCCTTTCGTTAGTACATAAGCAACGGTCTAAGAAAAAGAAATACTCTGCAACATCGATCAACTCAACTGCAGGCATGAGGTTTGGACTTGGACGTGTTACTTTACGAGTATGAGGCGCATGTTGAACCGTACCGCAGAAGTATTCAGGTCATTTGAAGTGGTCTGCATTTCTAAAGGAACTAATCCAGGGAGTGCGATGACGTCAACCTATTCAGTGTCCTGGCGACCGAAGGGACCGAAAGCAGCTTCCAAGTCAAGAAAAACGACCATTATTGGTCGGGTAACTCTCGCCAGAACAAAACTCAGCTTGATTTCTACGAATTTGACCCTTTCAATCGAAACCAATCAGCGAAACATAGCGACAGAGAGGAGTTTCGAGACTATGGCAAAAAGACTGATGACTCAGTAGTTTTCGCATATGCTTTTCATTACTGTTGGAGCCAATATGGAAGCGTTTCATTCTCTCAGCATTCTATCTTGGTTCCACATGTTTTGCAGCAAGGACATCAGTTCAGCTAAAAGAGATCCACTGCCTTTGAATGGTGCAGAATGCAACCACCTATCGGGTTCAGGAGCTTTGTTGTCTTGAACTATTGATGTTTTGCGCTGGATTAAAGTTGCCAACGAAGCCGTGGCGATGACGTTCCATCCAGGTGCGTAAAGAACTTCCAGAAATTGAGTTGGCGGGATGGAACTTGACGACCCTTCAAAGTGTTTAGCCGATTATTGAAGATGACGTTCTCGTTTCCATCATTTTCGGAAATCGTTTGATTACCATCCGCCCTCTTCCGACAGCCTGATCAGATTAGTTGGAATAGGGTGTGCTGCTTTGCATCACAAAAGCTTTCTCCACCTCACAAGCCTTCTCTGCGAACTCTCATCTCCATTCTTAGGCGCAACATCATTCGGAGTTTAAGGGAGCTGCTTGTACCATCACAGTCACTTGTTGCAAGTACAGTCTTTCTCTGGCCAACGAAAGTTGCTGATCGCGACGATATCCAGTATCCAGAAGAGATCGGACAAACGGTTCAGAAAGCGTTGGGCATGGTATCTTTCGCCTTTTTTCGGTCGCTGTAAGAATCAATTGTAGCCTCACCGATTTGTTGCTGAAACCAACCCTATAAATTTGGAGGTGATTAACCGAATAGTATTGTGTCGACCGGCGTATTCTACAATGAAAGTGAATTGTTACAGTCAGAGTCAACCTTGTATTGAAGCTCTTCACCGGTACATCGACCACTGCCGATCTGCAGTTGATGGCCTTCAGGTAATACGGTATGAGCGTTTATGCTGAAAGTTTGTACTGGTTAGAGACGAACAAGCGAGCCAACCGGAGAAGTCGCTTTCCGTTACCTGTGCGACGAACATCGAGCGCTAGAATTTTGTGACCAACCTCTTCTAGCCAATCGTACTTCGAGAGAAGGTAGCATCGCTGCTTGCAAAAATATGGAGATGCTGGTCGCATGGAGAGGAGATCTTACTGTGCTCAATCTCTTGTCGCGGCAAACAGTACGGCTTTATCTCCACTCTAACTCGTAATACTGTCTTACGCACTACAGAGGCTCGGGTTGCACGTTTTTAGCCTTTCTGAAATTACCGAACCTTGAGAAACCGAATTCCAATCAGTGTGGCATGAATGGTAATCGCAGTACTGAAGCCCGAGCACCACGAAATGCTGAGAAAGCTAACCAACTCCCATCTAAATCTCCCGTTTACGATATGCTCCAACTGAATGTGCTCAATCAATGCCGCCTCATGCTTCAGTCGGTACGATATTCGAGATACCGAAGCACGTTTCCTTGATACAAAGCACACACTTCATCCGCATACTTCTTGGTAATGAATCCCAAGAACGGCAAAATCGGTACTAAGCTGGGTAAGTGTTTCCAGCTACCTCATAAGTACTGTGTTACGTCAAAAAAACATTCGCAGTCTCTTAGTGTAAACATTCACCGAAACTTGATCCTATGTTGATGTGATATTTAAAACGATAAGTATTGGTAGACAAGGCGGTTTGATTGGTGACATAGGTAACTCATCCACACTGGGAGGGCAGTCAAACTGATACACATCCCCGCAGTTTATTGTTACAACTTCGAGCACGGAAGACTTACTTTCTAGTAAAACGGATGCAGCTGTTCAATCCAAAGAAATACCCGTAAGATACTTTTCCTAAATTTCCTGTGGCACAATCTCTTCATAGTGAGTGGTTGTGGGATCCGTGAAATGCGCGCTCAAATCACTCTCCTAATGCCATGAAGATTTACGAGATGACGTGTCAGAAAACCATTCGGACACAAACCAGACTCTTGGGCGGTTCAACAGCATGAGCATGTAACGTTCCATTACACCGTGATAAAGGCATCAATTACATGCATCACACACATATACAGATACGGAGGAACTTTCGAAGTAGAAAAATGAACATCGTACGAGGAAAACTTGTGATCGAACACGACAATATTTCAGCTCCAAGTGGAGGTGCAAACACCAACGCTTAAAACGACTGAAAAAAACGTACGCGGGACGTTTAATGTTAAATGATTGACTCCATGAAGTGCGTTTTAACAAGATACACAAGCAGACGAGAAAATGAGTTCCTTGCCAGCACCTCACCTGGATCTCTGTACTCGTAGTCTCCATTCCACAAAACGCCGTCCAGTCGTTAACAACGAGCCCAGCGGCGACCATTGGGCTGCCTCTGTTAACAGTGCCAGCTGTAAGAGGGAGTTGAAGAAGACTGCTAAGCTGATCAAGTTCGTCGACCGTGGTCCTGGGATGCACGAGGCCACCCTGGTTGGTTAGCACGCAGTAGGTGCCAACTAGGGACTGATTCGCGATGACACCGCGAAAAACTTCCACATTGAGCACATCGCTCACCAATTCGGCTGTTTCCTGAAAAAGATCAGCCATAAAAATGTCAGCCGATGAAAAAACCCAGGTGCATTGCACATTGTATCTTTAGGTGGTGAGATATCAGTGTCTAGCCTGTTAGTGCTGCTTGGAACGCTATCGAATGTGTGAGTTGCGCATTCACAGCGCATTATCCTAGGGTAAGATACCCTGCGAGAATTGTGACGAATGTCACTGGTAGTATTACGGATTACGTTATCTTGCAGACGGGTTGATTTATCACCTAGAAGTGAAGAAAGGTACAATGATCACCGGACTGCGTAGGATGCAGCATCAACGGAGCCAAAAAAGGCCTACTAAAAAATCTGCTCGTTAGAGGTGTTGATATAGCAAAAAGACAACTCAGGAATAACGGTCCTTCTATGTCTTCACGAGATACTCATCCACAGGAATAGAATGTGGCGAACAGGCCTGGTTCCGGCGAGATAAGTCGCGCTCTTGCAACATATCAATATTAAGGGTAAGAGAAAGCAAATCGAAAAAAACATACATGGATAACTGCGTATCGTCAAAGCGTAGCAATCGAATGGCAGAGAAGTCCAGGAACAGCAACCAACGAAACTAAAGAGTAGATATGCCGCCGGGACAAAGGTTCACTGACGCTTACAAACTGAGAGGTAGAGCACACTAACTAAAATGTCCGGACATAGTACCACTGAGTGCGGAGAGGTGAACCGAATAACTGAATGGGTATTGTCTCGTCTGTGGTCAACACGGACTCTATTGACTCTGAATGTCTTCCAGTTACTCGATAGGTAGATCGAAATGAGGTGATAGCCCCGTGGTGGTAACTCTCCAGGGATTT